AAACAAGTCTTCACCCTAAAATTAATGATTCCCCTCATGGGGACCTCCATTTTGTCCCCATAAGGGAGGCGAGTCCCCACACGTGACTGTGTAAACAGATTTACATGTAGGTCCCCACAAAGTAATGCTAGGCCACACACACACACTATTGTATGAGAGAGGTTCCAGGTTGAATTGAGGCGAATATTTGTAATGTTCAGAGGTTGTTGTGTTTAATATTCATGATAATGTTTGTCATTGTTCAAATGATAATAAACATTTGCATAAAGCATATTTGTCCACTCATATGTTGATAAGACTTGAAAAATATTCCTCTAAGGTACATTTAGAACAGATAAAAAATATGCGATTAATCGCGATTAACTATGGACAATCATGCGATTTTTAATCGACTGACAGCCCTAGTTTAAACACATTACACACACAGGGAGGATATACCAGCACTGACAGACAGAGTTCGGTGATGTCACAGGGATTCCAGGCAGCAGGTAGTTGAAGGTTAATTACCTAAATGTACTTGTTAATCCATTTGCTATGGCTACAACTGCCTCGTGGAACAACAACGTTTTCCTTTCTGTTTGTTTAATATAGGAATGCATCTTTGTCTATCACACTTTGCTTCTGTAGATCTCTCATCTGACTTTATTGTGAGCTTGTGTTTTCAAAAATTAAATTGAGCATGTTTTATGAGACTGAACAGTCTCATAAAATCCAAAGAATTAAACAATTATAATTGCAATGTAAATAGTTTGCACCCCATTTTTTTTAACTTTTAAATGAATCTTTATGGTGTGGTGTGCTACCAATTCTTAAAATAATACAAGGATTGGATGTTCATCAAAGGATTTTCAGGGCAATCTATTTGCAGCCAATCAGAGACGAGACTTCTGCTGCAAGCACTCAGGCACACATAGATCATGTGCTGAGGCACACCGAGAGAGAGCATGCGCTAAGGCACAGAGACTACAGAGACCACGCAGTTAGCACGCAGGAAGTGAAGAGCACGGCACGCGGCGCGCCCTGTATACAACACTCCCTTATGAAACAAAAATATATTGGAAAATATAATACAATATACTGGATCATACATTTCCATATATGGGAAAGTAGTCCTTATATTTTTAAATATATTGCAATATATGCATGGACCATGTATGGCTATATATTGATGTGTAAAAAAAAAAAAAAAATATTGCAATGAAAACAAAAACTGCACTATACATTTTTATATGTAATAGTTGTATTGAAACACTCATTTATCTTTCATGAGTTACACAAGTTTACATAAAGTTGAACAGATATTCACACTATATAATATAGATATAAACAGTTATCTCACTTTGTTTTGTATAGTTACCCACTTGAACATGGTATATATTTATAAAGTACAAATACTCCATTGTCCATTTAATGATGGAAAATAATATACAGTTTATAAATATATACAGACACACACATATATATATATATATATATATATATATATATATATATATATGCATAGAACTGACATGGACTCATCACTGAGGACCTGACATGGTCTCATCACACTAACACCATCACCAAAACAGCTAGACAGCGGCTCTTTAAAAAAAAAAAGGTATTAGTCAATTTATTAACAAAACAAACAATAATTATAACAAAGACGAGCAAAATAAAAAAACGTATATTATAACTTCTACAACGACAAGAAATAGCAAGCATCACTTCACAGGTCCTGCTCAGAACCATTCAGGATTTGGTTTCTAAATAAGAGTTTTAGTTTAGATAAAGTTGCACAGTATTTCAGCTCATCATTACAGTTATTCCACAGATGAACACCTTCTGTTGTGATGCAATGAAGTTTGGAATTTGTTCGTATGGATGGTTTAAAAAAATGCAATTTCCTCTCAACATGTGTATGCTTTCTCTCCGTGTGAAAAGTCCCTGGACTTTGAGGTAATTGTTCTGCAGGCTGAGGAAGTTCAACATGGAGTCCAGGATACTCTGCAACTTCTACAGGTGCACCATAGAGAGCATCCTGACTGGCTTCATCACGGACTGGTACGGCAGTGCAATCATATTCCATTTACTTGTATATAGACTATTCTTGCACTATTTCTATTCTATTTTATTTGTATTTACTTGCACTATTTTATCTGTTTTATTTGTTCTATGTTCTATATATATGTTGCACTGTTGGAGGAGCCTGTGACTTCAGTTTTTCGTTGACATGTCTATACTGAAGCTAATGTACAAATGACAATAAAGTCTTGAATCAATCAATCAATCAATGTTTATTTATATAGCCCAATATCACAAATGTTACATTTGTCTCAGTGGACTTCACAGTTTGTACAAAATATCAGTATGACAATACGACACCCTCTGTCCTTAGACCCTCTGTCCTTAGACCCTCTGTCCTTAGACCCTCACATCGTACAAGGAAAAACTTCCGAAGAAAACCCACAGTTTAAAGGGAAAAATGGGAGAAACCTCAGGGAGAGCAACAGAGGAGGGATCCCTCTCCCAGGACGGACAGACGTGCAATAGATGCCGTGTGTAAATCCAAGAGATAATACATTTGCAACATAGGTAGTCCAAATGTTTGGAAATGCGTGTGTATAATAGGAAGATGAATCCACGAGGATATCCATCACTACCGTTAAGTCTGTTACAAGCTGGCTCTGCTTGTAACAAAAGTTCCACACAGGAGTTGCCCAAAACAATCATTTGTTTATCCCAACGCAGTGGTTACAACCAACAATAAAACAAACACAGGAGCGGTGTCCTGGTGCACCGAGCAGGGCAGCTGAGAGAGCCTGTTCTGCAGCCCTCTTAAATAGTGGAACCGGGTGCCACAGGTGGGTCTCATCACTGCTGATTACAAGGAAAACCCAGGTTACAACAGCACCACATGGATGACAACCACAGGGTTGTCACAAGTCACTGGTGATATAATTGTTCAGAGTTTTATTAAATATGAGTTGGTGTTGGCAGAGAAGAAGAGGGCAGGGTCATTTGTCTGATAGTGAAGTTAACGATAATCTAAGTAGTGACAAATAGTCCTACTGACATTATCTGTGTGTGTGTGTGTGTGTGTGTGTGTGTGTGTGTGTGTGTGTGTGTGTGTGTGTGTGTGTGTGTGTGTGTGTGTGTGTGTGTGTGTGTGTGTGTGTGTGTGTGTGTGTGTGTGTGTGTGTGTGTGTGTGTGTGTGTGTGGTCGATGAGCCTGCCATCCGGACCAAAAGGCCAATGATCCTCTCGGTAGGTGGATGTCCTGATTGTGGGATGGAGTTGTCATTAGTCATTGCCCCCCCCCAGCAGCCTCTCATTTGTGTCCCATCGCCCCGGCCAATCATAAGCCCATTAGTCTTCATTTTCTCCTTTTATGGCTGGGGCCCGCTCAGTCCAATCAGCTCCTGTTCTCATTTTCCTCACATCGGTTTTATCTACAGAATCGACAGAGCTGGCAGCCTTCCAGACAGATACTTCCCCGTCATTTACTGTGCACTATTAAAACACACACATACACACACACACACACACACACACACACACACATCCTTCCACTATATACTGTATAGCAACATCATTTTGGGTTCAATTCTTGGGCTGAAGAAGTTTTTCTCACTGAACAGTAAACAAAGTTGTTTGGGAAGAATCTTTTGATGCAGGAACAGGCTACAGTGCCACATTTAGCTGGCAAATAGTGGTTCTTTAGGCAGACCTTATCTGATATCTAAGTAACTTTGAATTCTGTGTAAAACTCAATGTTGTGATTGAGGGGTAAGGGCCATTGTCCTCATAGTGATTTATTCTGAGCGCTTGCGTCTTTTTCAAATGATTCCATTATACAAGCGTTTTTTCTCTTGAGCACTTCTATTGAAAATAATATCTGAACTTCTGAGAAAATTATTTTGAGTAGATCAGCTGAGCGACACTGACTGTTGCACAGCTGATGAAGACCCTGGAGAGGCTGGTCCTTGGACACCTTCGGACCCTTGTGAGACCATCGATGGACCCGCTGCAGTTCGCCTACCAGCCTGACATCGGGGTGGATCTACCTGCTGCAGAGGTCCCTCTCCCACCTGGAGAAGGCTGGGGGCTCTGTGAGGATCATGTTCTTAGATTTCTCCAGTGCCTTCAACACCATCCAACCCCCACTCCTGGGGGGACAAGCTGCAGCTCTCGGGGGTGGATCACCACCTCCTGGATCCTGGACTACCTCACCAACCGTCCACAGTACGTGAGGACCGGGGAGTGTCAATCAGACACCATCATCAGCAGTACGGACGCTCACCCTCTACACTGCAGACTTCACCCACAACACTGCAACCTGTCACCTGCAGAAGTTCTCTGATTGGCCTCATCTCCAACAAGGACGACAGGGAGTACAGCGAACTGACACAGGACTGCACCCTCTGGTGCCAGAGGAACCACCTGTGAGGATCCACTGTGCTGCGTCCCTCTTTTTCCTCCTCTGTGTTTTTGTCTATCTGTGTGTCTGTCTTCCTGGCTGGGCATGGCTGACCTACATTTGGATTCCCGCCTCCACACCTCTCCAGCTGCACAGTAAAACATTTTTTTTTTTTTTTACGGTAAAAAACTGGCAGCTGTGGTTGCCAGAACTTTACCGTAAAAAATACGGTAGAACTTTATGTACTATTACGGTAAAAGGATATCAGTACTGCTGACTTTACGGTTAATGTTTGAGTTTTATTCCATATTTTACCATATAAATACAGGTTTTTACCACTGAAAGAAACACCTTTTTGCCATAAAATGAACACAAAATAAAAATACTGTATGAATACCGTCTAAATAAAGTTGTTGCCATCAAATTAGACTGTTTCCCTCTGCAGTTAACAGTCTGTAATATACATTTCCGTAATATGCCCTACAAATAAAGGTTGTGCCATGAAAAATGACAGTGGTTCCCTGTACAATTAACAGTCTGTAATAAAAAAATACTACTTTTCCCCATATACATTCCCTTACAAAAGCAGTACAAAAAAAGGTTTTGCCATGAAATATGGTTTTATTGTGAAATTAACAGTATAATGTAATGATTTCACTTCTAATACGTAAAATCCTCTCTTGGTCCATAGTCAGACAAAAGTCCAAAGTTTTTGATAGTCCATTAAAAAGATCAGCAAGCAGTCAAGGGGTTTCCAATGTGTTGCCCTCCTGTAGCTGTTGAGGCAAGGGAGCAGCATGTGGACATCGAGGGTCCCACCAGGGTGGGTGGAATGGATCGGGAACCCAGGACCTAACACCAGCATCAGGGAGAGAGCAGAGAGAAAAATCACAGGATCAAAAGTCGTTTAATTTACACTTAATTAGTGGTGGGATATATTATATTGCAAAACCTTTAGATCACAATATTTTTATAATAATAATAATAATGGGTTCCATTTATAAAGCACCTCATATTTGACTCCAAATCCCGAAGTGCTACAAGTGGTGAGCATGAACAGTATAAATACACATTACACAACACGGTAGAATTAATAAAAAGCAATAAAAAAATAAAAAAAATAAAAGGGTGATAAAAATCAGTTTGATTTTTGATTTTTCTGGTAATTCAATTTGAAATGGTTTATAAATGAAGGGACTCTCAATAACCTATTTACATTTTCACTATAGTAAGTCCTGTCATGGGTTATATGATTACATGATGTATTGATATAGACTCTGCTAGCAGTTGGAGTAATGTCACTTTGCTGACGGTAACATCCCCCCAAACACTCAGTATTAGTTCATCTCTACTGGTAGACACATTTCTAAAGAGCACAGTATATACCACTATACTAAAGTCAATATTTACTGAAAGCGTGCATGATAGAAAACCTGTTTGTGTGGAATCACTCACCATAAATGTCCTGACTGAATGTAGAAACAGGTCCACATTGAAGGATCAGGGAGGAGAACTTCCAGCAGCAGGAGAACGCTGAGTGGAACTTGGTAGTTTGACTGGGACCAGCCCTAATGATGGTGCAGCCCTATCAATGCCCTAACAAGTGAGAAAAGAAAGTCAAAGATTAAATTGTAATATAAACAAAAACAATAATTGACTCTCTCTAGACTTGTATCTCTTACCTGGAAAGGTAATAATGTCAAGAAGAATCCAGTTGAGGACCACTGAACACGTTTGGCTTGGCCTATTGGAAGGGAAACATTACTTTAGACGCAGAATACAAATCTGATGTATATATTTTAAATATGCAGCTAACTTACCAGCTCAGTTCTTTAATGATGCCATCAGAGGAAACAGAACTGGCCTGACTTGAGTATTTTCATAATCATTTCTTCTAAAACAAATGATAGACTGAACCACCTACACTGTTCAATATTTTAATAGTACAAATAACCAACCCATACATATGTTATAACCCATACTTACCAAATGCACATATGCTGTTCATACTCTACAGACAACCCTACATTTGCACTCTTTTGTATATTGTAACTCTCCACTGTCCATCACTATACATATTGTATTGCATTATTGTGCTGTATTACCTACACTCCTGCATGTATCTATATATATTAGGGCTGTCAGTCGATTACAATATTTAATCGCGATTAATCGCATGATTGTCCATAGTTAATCGCGATTAATCGCAAATTAATCGCACATTTTTTATCTGTTCTAAATGTTCCTTAGAGGAATATTTTTCAAGTTTTTAATACTCTTATCAACATATGAGTGGACAAATATGCTTTATGCTAATGTTTATTATCATTTGAACAATGAAAAATATTCTCATGAATATTAAACACAACAACCTCTGAACATTACAAATATTCGCCTCAATTCAACCTGGAACCTCTCTCATACAATACAAATGGTGTGTGTGTGTGTGTGTGTGTGTGTGTGTGTGTGTGTGTGTGTGTGTGTGTGTGTGTGTGTGTGTGTGTGTGTGTGTGTGTGTGTGTGTGTGTGTGTGTGTGATGGATCGTTGGAGCTATGTGCAACTCAAGGCATATGCTCGAACCGGAGCTGCCTGGACGCTGCAATCATGTTGTGCACTGAGTGTGCTGACTTCTCGTACAATGTCCCACTGTCTGGCTTCCTGCATAAAGTCAAGTGCTCGGCGCAGTTGTCGGCGAAATGTCGCTCCTCTGTTTTCATTTAAACAGCTCCTTATATCCGTTAGCGCAGCTAGCTAGCACCAGATGCTAACAACAACAATGCACGTAAGGGCCACACATACACACACCCTCCCGGTCCTCCCGATGGCCAGTCGGTGCCTGCCGGTGAGCGTGGAAGTGTGGTCTGCCACAAGCAGGCAGCAGGAGCAGGGCTGTCAGCATCAGCTTATAGATGGTATTTTAAACTCGATGCGCTCTGAAAAAAATACATCAATCGCGTTAAAATAATTAGTGGTTATTAACGCGTTAACTTGACAGCCCTAATATTTATACAATCAATTCCAACACACTTGAAAATACAACGAGGTTCATTGCGGTGGAGTTTGCAATGTACAACATACGCTTTAAGAGACTGAACAGATTCTCCACAAATGCAACAGGAATACATGGTCAAACAGGCATATATCCACCATAAAACTAACAAGTAGCCTGAAATATGTCCAGGCATGCCTAGGATCGGGCACCACGTTTTTGTTTGCAAGAGCCACAAAACACAGAAAATCTCGTTACCAAAAACATTCTATCAATTTACCATGTCTCAGAAAGAGGTCTGAACATTATTAGCCTAGCACTGCACTTAGCCTAGCTGCGACACGGGAGCGGCACATCAAATAGGCAACCGTTAATGTTTCAATTCAAGCGCCCTTTCTGTCCACAACCTCCACTCAAATTTGACGGGCAAAAATTGACTTCACCTTACCGTGTTAACTGAAGACAAGCTGCAACGTTCAGACAAGTCCAGAATAATCAGACGAAGTACCTGCTGGAGAGTAGTTCAAATCACTGCGACACGGGAGCGACACATCAGAGAGGCAACCGTTAATGTTTGAATTCAAGCGCCCTTTCTGTCCACAACCTCCGCTCAAATTTGACGGGCAATGGCATTTTAGCCTGAAATGTGTCCAGGCATGCCTGGGAACGGGCACCACCTTTTTCAAAGCAGTTTGGAAGAGTCACTACACTCGGACAATCTTGTTGCAAAGAAAAAAATGCTATCAATTTACCCCTTCTCCCAAAGACGTCTGAACAGTATTAGCCTAGATAAACATTAACTATACTTTGGTGTGCGACCAAAGCTGCGCAAACTCATTCATAATCGAAATAATCATACGAAAATACATTTGTTTTTACCTTGCTAAAATTGATTTCACCTTGGTAACTGAAGACAGGCTGAGACGTTAAGACAAAGTCCAGAAATTTCAGATGGAGTACCCTGAGTGGAGTGGTTAAAAAAAAAAGTCATGGGACATGTGATCCAAAATGCAATGCCCTGATTGGACGGCGCATTACAGAGTTCAGACGTTAATGTTTGAAATCAGGCGCCCTTTCTGTTCAAAACCTGTAGGCCTACTCATATTTGAAATGCATTTAAAACCATTGTGCTATTTTCTTAAGAAGTTGGTCAACCTGATCTAACTGTTGTGTAATAGAACACAGAAAAAGCAAACACAGGACATTCTGATTTATTGTTTTTGCTCATAGAAATGGAATAGGGTTTCACAGTTGTACAGCAAATAATAGTTTGTGTATTTAGCAATGACATAATGTATATTTAACAAAAAAGGAAAGCAAAATATATGCAAAAATGACAGTGTTGGCTGTTATATATATTACGGTATATTTTTGTTATAAACACAGTGCAAGAGTATTTAACAGTGGAGAAATGCATTTTTTTCAGAAAAGATAGGTAAAAATTATTGTTTTGGCTGATATATATATTTACGGTCTTCTACTGTTACATAAACTGTATTCAACCAATTTTGAATTTACGGTCTTTTACTGTCGTGGTTTGACAGTTTTACACCGTAAAATCTACAGCCTTTTTTTACAGTGTGATGTTCATCTCACTGATTGCCACTACTCACCTGTACCTGCTTAAAACCCCGGTTCTCATCCCCAGTATTTGCCAGTTCGTCGTTTAAATGTCAGTGGTAAACAAAAGTCCAGGCCGACTTAGCATTTTTGCTTAGTTACCTTTTGATTGTCCTAGTGAGAATTGTCGCCATTTTAGCCCTGCTCTTTCCCGTTCCACATACCTGTCGCTCCGCCTGCCACGTCCAGCCACCTCCCTAGTCTGTCCTGCTCCTCGTCTTCCCTCTCTGTGCTCCTCGTCCCGGCCTGATCTTTGGTCCCAGGTTTTGCCTTTGGCGCCCTTTCCAACTCCTAGACTCAGCCTTGGTCCTCAATAAAGCCCATTTTGACACTTCACCACAGTTTTTGTCATTGTGCTTGCATAACGGGTTCTCTTTAGTCTCTAGTCACTCCACGTGAGCCTAACACCATCTCCAGAGGAACCACCTCCAGCTCAACGCAGGGAAGACCAAGGAGCTGGTGGTGGACTTCAGAAGAACAATCCCCCCCCGACACCAGTGAACTTCCAGGGAGAGGACATCGAGATTGTGAAATCTTACAAGTACCTGGGTGCTCTTCTGAACAATAAACTGTTCTGATCACTCTGCTGCTCTGTGCAAGAAGGGACAGAGCAGTGTGTATCTTCTGAGGAGGATGAGTTATGTTGGGTTGCAGGGGGCCCTCCTGCAGACCTTCTATGATCTCGGCTGCTGACAGGAAGAGACTGAACAGACTGGTTAAGAAGGCCAGCTCTGTCCTGGGGAGTCCCCTGGACGCTGTGGAGGTGGTGGGAGACAGGAGAGTGATGGCAAAGCTGTCATCACTATTGGACAATTTATCCCGGCTCCTCGAGGACACCCTGTCCTCACTGTGCAGCTCCTCTGACAGGCTGCTGCACCGTGCTGTTTCACAGAGAGATACCACAGCTCCTTCCTTCCTGCAGCGGTCAGACGGTACAACCCCCACGGCCCCTAGTAGACCCCCACACACATGGACTGGAATACCCCTGATGTGCAACCAAACTATCTGTAAATATAACACTTTGCAATATCCTGCAATTTCACGTTTTTTTACCATAGTGTACATATGGCAATTTTGTTATTAATAAGGTGTACATTCACTTTTTGTTATCCTCATTTTATCTGCAGTTGTAATCATGTACATTTCCCCGTTTGCGGGACAAATAAAAGATTTCTGATTCTTAAATTTTTGTAGTAGCATAAAGGGGTTGAAGCTAGTTTGTCATGCAACAGCCGTGATACATTCTTAAGATATTATTGTCATAGAAACATTGAACAAGTGCCGGGAGTGTTCTTTTTTAATCAAACGCTGGAAGGAGGCTCTGCCTAGCGCCCTGCCTACACTTTTCTGCCAATAAGGCGCTATATGAACACAGGGTATAAGAAAAATAGGAGATCAGCAAGAACTAACTTTTGTAACTTCAATATTAGTTTTTAAACAATTGCCCTTCATTTATTTCCTTCTTGAAGTAATGAAGCTGCATTTAAACACTTCTGTTTGACATTTTGTAACCTCGCAAAGTTGATAAGGCTAACATGTTTTTACAGAGAAGGAGACACATATGAACATACCAGTTTATTTAGAAGATTCTGATGATCCAATATTCTTAGCTCTGATGTGTTTTCTGTCTGGCTGTAAGCAGATGCTCCACTCACCAGCTGTCACCAGCTACAACATTAGATTAGATTAGGATCGGAGGATGAAACCCTCTTTAATTGTCACACATGTTCATGCACACAGTGAAATGTGTTCTCTGTATTTAACCCATCCTAGTACTAGGAGCAGTGGGCACAGCGCCCGGGGAGCAATGGGGTTGGGGGGGATGTCCGGTGCCTTGCTCAAGGGCACCACGGCAGGGCCCAGGAGGTGAACTGGGACCTCTCCAAGTACCAGTCCACACTCCATATGTTCGAGGACTTGAACCAGCGACCCAACGGCTCACAGTCTAAGCCCCTACTGACTGAGCCACTGCCAGGCAAATCATCAGGAGGTTGCATCCCCGACTGACCCATAAGGCTACACACGTTCAGGTGCAGGCACTCGTATTGTGAATGGGTCATCCATGGTTAAACTATACAATCCGATCTGCATCGCCTCATCGGCTTGCTACTCCCTCACTGCCGGTTTGACCCAGGTACCCCTCAACAAAATACAAAATTGCTTTCTTCTGCCTGTCCGCACCTTGGACAACAACTTCTAATTTATATATGCAGCTCTTAAAGTTTGGATTATTTGTAGCCAATTCACCTGCACTTATTTGTAGTTAATGTACTTGCAGGATTCTTGCTTTTTGAGTTCGTATCTCTATGGTTGATTGCACTTATTGTAAACCGCGCTGGATAAAAGCCTCAGTTAAATGAAATGTAATGTAAAGAAATGTGTCTGTATGCTGATGAGTGGGTATGTTGGTTTCCACTTTTTTTCTGAAATTGGAAATGATTAAATATTGAAGGATGCTCCATACAGCTGATGGATTGATAATTATCTGTGTGATGTTACTTTGAGAGACCATTGTACATGACTCATAGGCTTCAGAGACCAAATGCTTCCCGTTTTGGTGATTCGATCTCCCATGACGGTCAATTTTGTCAGTGCATCACAACATAGCTGTGTAAAAGAATACACTGATGGCACACATTAGTCTTACTCATGAGACACAGCCACATAATTGCACTACAGTGTTCATTAGAGTCCTCCCAGTTGTTGAGGCCCAGAACAAGTTGAATTAACTGAATGAAAATGGGAGTGGGAGGAGACCAAGTCCATCAAAATGTTGTCTACAGAGACCTGTTGACCTTCCAAATTATGAATGCCATTGCTTTGGATGAATTGAAGACGTCATTCGTCTGTGTTATTGTTTTCCACTAGATTTTTGTTATTTTCTATATCTACCCATCAGTTATGTTTTGTTATTCTTGTTTTGATTTCTCTTCAGAACAAGTCCGGCACATTTTTTGCATAACTAAAAGCCTCTCTCCAACACAATGTTTTTGTTGTTGCAATTTAATTTCTCACGTATAACATGACGCCCATGGTGAAATGAGAAATGGATCTTAAATTGAAATTGTATTTTTCATTATGCCTTCTTACGCTTGGCACAGATTGAGAGAGGTTACAGGAGCAAATGTCACTTATTGTTTCCACTGAATTTTCTCCGTCTAACACTCTTCTTTATGGATTTATTTTTTCGAGAGATACAATCGTGTTTGAGCACTGTTTTCTAAGCCTATGGAATGGCTGCTCTGAGGGGACTCTGCCAGCCTCTCACAATAAATTAGATGTGGCATGACAATCTGTTGTAAAAGGTTTGGGTCATAATAGGTGCCCTCATACATAAATTACCTAGTTAATGCACAGCTAATCATCCAGACAGACGGAGGGCAGCACCCGGCGGCAATGTGTACGTGTAGCTAGATTGAATGAAAGGGGATTGACATCAGCAATCAGAATATAATGACGCAGGTCTGCATTTGTCTCTGAAGGCATTACTGTGAACTTATTGCTGGGAACATGAATACACACCGGTTGGGGAAACCATGTAAATGTTTTTAATGTAGATTTAGTACATTCTTTCTTCTACAAAAAACAAACCTTATATTTCTCAGCAGTGAAAATTATGTACCTCTGCTTTGGCCCTTACAGACTATTTGTTGACACACTCCATAGCAGTTCTGGGATAGTGAATCACATCATTATCTGCCAGCCACTATCCGACTATCAAGGAATCTCTGTCTGCCTGCATGCTGTTTTTGTCCTTTGCATATCTCAAGAACCGTTTATCCAATCTACTTCACACTCAGCAGGTGTATAGCTGGGACCGAAGAAAGTAAAGGTTCTTATTTGGCGCAATTTCGACACACGAGACATTCAATATACTTTCAACAAGAAAACAGCGCAAAGTATGGGTGGGGATTTTGAGTGCTGGAGACTGAGCATGAGCATGTCGTTCACAGGAAACACTTTCAAACTGAGAATCTGGGGTTACGTATTGTAACCCAGCTTCTATGAGTATAGGCGCAGCCCTCTAAGGCTATCGCTATTGGGTAATCCCACTGCACGTGTGCAGCACTGACAGACTTAATCCACGCCCACCTCTGACGTGGGCCCCACCTTCGGCCTCCCTTCCGTATAAATAGGAAGTAGGCCCGTCCAACTGCTCCCACACAAACAGCTTTTCTTCAGCTATTCGCGGAGCCAGTGGGGCCGAACCTTAGAGGGCTGCGCCTATACTCATAGAAGCTGGGTTACAATACGTAACCCCAGTTATATTTGGTATAAGGCTTCGCCCT